GTAGGGTGGGTAACGATCCGGTTCGCACCAGACTAAATCGTACCAAATTGATATTTGGATCGAATCATATCAGACCGAATATATTTTGATTCAATTTTATCCTATGAATTATTTTAAGTATGAAGAAACATGGACCAAAATTGAATTTGGTATGGACTAAATCGAACAAATTAAACCAAACATGCTTTTGGTCCGGTTCTGGTCCTTATTTTCCCTTTGTTTTTTGGTTCAGTTCTGTATCAATTCGATCAGGTTCTGTTCCGAATCGATCGATGTCCACCTCTAATCCTATGGCATCATGTACAATAGCGTTCATGCATTATCAATTCTTCTATAATGGTACCTTATCTATACGACAATTCCTAATTACATCCCCACCGTCAATTTTTGTTTCTCGCCTTGCTGACTGGACTTTGACCAAGCTCCCAATATTCATAAAGTTAACTTAGAATGATCATGATACTCCCCACTTAATTTATTATATACAAATTGAGCAATAAAATCTGCATATTTATAAGGAAAAAAAAGCAACATATCTATTGGAAAGTACTCAATCCCTAAGTTTATTCATTAATTTTTCAATCTAAAGAGTATCAATATTTGTGTTGGTTGCTGGGTTGTTTATCAACAAGGGAAAGAATAAATATCATAAAATGTTCATGTGACGTAAATTCTACCGTGCGTAATGTTTAGTGTGAAGATAAAGGTTTCGTAAAGAAAGACAAATGCATTGGAATTTGTAGATATGATGGTGCTTTAGAGGACGGTGCGATCACACGAAATCTAAAATGACATTTGCAATAATTTGTTAATTTGAAGAGCAAATAGTGCGGTTTGATTACATTTTTAGGAGTAGATTTTCTTGCATGGTTTTGTTTTTTACTTGCAATAAGACTTTAGCAATACATTGGTTTAGCATGTTCAAATATTATACGAGTATGATATTGTCTCCAGTTACTAAATGATTCGAAATTTTTATGGTATAAAATAAAATATTTCTTGCGTCGGATAATTTCTATGATTATTTATACTATTAACGAAATTCATCCGACCAACGGGCGGGCTCAAATATAGTGTTATACCAGAATTTATTCACGTTGTTCATACTTTAAACAAATCACTAATACGAGAGAGCAATATTAGGGCTTGACCAGAATAGAGTAATGATTTATAGTATAAATAGATAATATAAACGAATAATAAATCCCTGTAGGCAAATATATATCTTGAATCCCTGTAGGCGAAAATCCAATCGTTGCCACCTTTCACAGTTTAACAAAAAACGAAGAACCAACCCAAATATATAGAAGAAAAAAGGCCACTCCTAGGCTTCCCCAATCGTATTAAGTTACGGTACATGAACAACACATTAATGAGGAAACCCTCTCTCACCTCTATATAACTTGCTTCCTAATCACAAAGGCGCGAAACCAAAGATGCAGAACACCACTACTGGTTTCGACGCTGCGAGCCCTGTGGCGGCTACTCCCAACGTAGCCGAGGAGACGGCCACAGCGGAGGAGACAACCACAGCGGCGGCGGCGTCCATAGAACCCACTTCCCACCCTCACCCTTCGGCGGAGGACGTGGCTCATGCAGCCGCCACCCTGCAGGCGGCGTTCGACGACCAAACGACGCCGTCACAGCCGCCAAGAGGAGAGAAGCGAAAATGTAGTAGTAGGGAGATAAGCAACGTGCCGTCGAGGGATCCCACGTGCTACGAGTGCGGGAAGAAGTTCGCCACGTGGAAGGCGGTCTTCGGGCACTTGAGGATCCACACGGACAGGCCTTTCCGGGGTGCGTTTCCTCCGCCGGTGGGCGCTGACTGGACGCCGTCGTCGTCGTCCGCTGCCGACAGGCAGCAGTGTTGGAGACAGGAACCGAGGCTAGGGTTTGGTGTCGACCTTAACGTTCCTCTCATGCTGATGAACAATGATGGTGACGAGGTTGATCCTACGGCGACGAAACGGCGTCGGATAATCGATTTGAACAGACGGGCGGCCGATGAGGAGGCGGGGACAAGCAACGAAGAGGACGAGAGCAAAGAAGAGGAAGAGAAAGGGGAAGCAGAGAGAGACCATGAAACATGAAACTTTGTAGTTGAAGTGGAAGTTGAGGGTTTGGTTATTGACTATATAATAGTTTCGTATTCGTATGAAATATGAAACACTTGTGTATATATTAGTCACAAGTCTATGGTAGAGTGAGAGAGGTTTAGTTACTGTTTGATTTTATTCGAGATAGCTTGAGGTATTTCTTTGTGCTTAACTTGGTCAAGCAATAGTGCATGGAGCAAAATGTAATTAAGGTTGGTAATAAGACTACAATAATCACTGTTGCAACCACTTGCCTGTTTTATTTTGGAAAAATTCCCACCGTACACATGTTTTTAAAAAAAATTCTCAAAATACACATGTTATGAAAATATTTCCCAATCTACGCATGTTTAGGCCTTCACCGCGTCTGAGCAAGGCGGTGATTGCATCAACGCATTAAAGAAAAGCGGTGATTGCATCACCGCATGCGAGAAGCACGGTGATTGCATCACCGCTGTAGAGGAAGGCGGTGATTGCATCACCGGTGCATCACCGCTCTAGAGAAAGGCGGTGAATGCCTGACCTGCTTCAAATTTTTAAAAAACATAACTTTGTGCTCGGTTATCCGATCGTGGCGAAATTTTTTTTGATTCCGCATAATTTTTCGAGATCTTGCAAGCCGCAAACTGCCGAAGGCGGTTTGGTCCACAATCCGCATAACTTTTTAAGGACTACAATTTTTATCATATACATAATTTCGGAATGAACTTGGATTCCTGAAAAGGGAAGGTAAAGTTATTCCCAAAACCCAGTATATCCAAAAATAATTCATTTTTGAAAATTATCTCGTACTAAAAATTGTAGTCCTTAAAAAGTTATGCAGAATAAAAAGAAATCGTGATTTTCGGATTGTGGAGCACAAAGTTATGGTCGTTCAAAGTGGAAACGAAATCGAAAAAAGACTCGTTCAGGGTAGCAAATGACGTTTTTTCGGGACGAAGGCGGGACCAGACCGCCTTCGATGGTTTGCGGCTTGCAAGATCTCGAAAAATTATGCAGAATAAAAAAAAAAAAATTTCGCCACGATCGGATAACCGAGCACAAAGTTACGTTCGTTTAATGTTTCGACGCAGGTTAGGCCTTCACCGCGGCCGTTTAATGCGGTGAAGCTATCACCGTATTTCTCTACAACGGTGATGCAATCACCGTCCTCCTCTAATGCGGTGATGCAATCACCGCTTTTCTTTAATGCGGTGATGCAATCACCGCCTTGCTCTGACGCGGTGAATACCCAAACATGCGTAGATTGGGAATTTTTTTCATAACGTGTGTATTTGAGAATTTTTTTTAAAAAACATGTGTACAGTGGGATTTTTTCCTTTTATTTTTTGTCAATTCTCTTCTCAAGTTCTCGAAGTTTCTTATGCCGTTTGGCCCTCCCCTAGATCCTCATAGCATTCCCCCTTATTCGGCTTTTTTTTTTTTGGCAAAAGATAATCTTATATTGATTGAAGAAGAGATAATTACACCCTGGAACCTAGCCAGGCCTGGAAATAAAAAACACGACTCATAGTCGGAGACAAAGAAAGGGTCTTCCTAGCCACCCTGTGGGCTACCCTATTGTTCTTCCGACCTACAAACCGCACACCCAACCCCGGATGAGGATCAAAAAAATATAAAACTTCTTCTAGTATAGCTCCCACCCGGTTATCAGTTCTCTGCCGTGAATTAATCTTATCAATAACCACCTTGGCATCTCCCTCGAACCTGACCAACGTGAACCCGAGCCCTAAACACCATCCAATAGCCTCTCGAAGGGTTAGCATTTCAATTATATATGAACTTTGATGTTGCCATTAACCAAAATTTTGGTTGTTCATTTGGCCTTGTTGTGCGTGGTGTGGACGAGCTTGTATTGCGGGCTCTTTGGCCGACAATAGGGTGTATCTGATCCCTAACTCACGAGAGTTGTTTGCTGCTAGAGATATCATTTCACTTGCGGTCTCAAGAAATCTACTTCGACTTATCGTAAAAGATGATTCCGAAGTGGTGATCCGAAATGGACACCAGAGCATGCCGAGGCCAAAGCGCTCCTGTTTGGTCTCCTCACGGCCATTCACCATCAATTTCTCCCAGCCATTGTAGAGACGGACTGCCAGGGGCTCTTCTCGCAAATTGGAAATGAGGATCGGCGACTGACAGAGGTGGGTCCGATTGTGGACGAGATAGAAGAGGTGGCAGCAGAGATTGGAGAAGATAAGGTTCGCTGGGCTTTCACCAGGAGGCTAGCAAACATAGCGGCCCACTTAACGGCCCACACAAATTGTAACTGGGAGGCCCGCGACGAATGGGTCACCGGACCTCCTACTTTTCTTCTTTCAGCACTTGCAAACGACTGTAATGGCAACAGAATTCCTTAAATAAAAGCTCAGGTTGATTATAAAAAAAAAATACATGCACGTATTCATACAAAATTGTATAAAGGTATTTGTTAAAATTTTGTAGTATAAGCTATAAGGATGTGTTTCTAAAAACAATACATCACATGGATTAGTTTGAAATAACATGAACCCATACTATTGATCAAGTGAAATAACATGGATTAGTTTGAAATATAAGTTACACTCAGTTACATTACCCACAGAACACCAAGTGAAATAATATAAACAGAACAATCCCATAACAGATTCCAACCAATGAAGCTCTGTACTCTTCCTACTGCGCTCGTTTCATCTCTTAGGTAGCTTGGCACATCGAAATCACCTGATCAAGGTTGATGCGTAAAGTTAGATACTTTTTTCCTCAAGGAATGACAAAAAAAAAAAAAAAATTGCTCTCAAGAACTTCATTGATTTCTGTTTACCTCTTCTGTTGCTGGTGAAGCTGCAGCCCGAGTTGAGAACGACTCGAACATCCCTAACCGTGGCTCGATTGAAGAACACGAAGTCGGACAACAAGTCGTCGATGCAGTCCAGAACGTGGTGGGTTTCATCGAAGCAAGGCCCGTCACAGAACGCGTTTGTGGCTTCTGTAGGAACATTGATGTTCCCACTCAGGTTTAGCCTGTATGCACGATTGCATCGGCCGTAGATCTGTCACAGATAGCATGAAAACACAATCATTTAAAAATGTTATTTTAGGGGGTTATTTGAGTGATGATAAAGGATTGTCGATATGTGAATTTTTAAAATCTATGCATCACACCAGATTGTATAGTTGTGTACCGTTTGATATGAGTGTCCTTAGGGTGTGGATTGCTGCCAACAATGAATTTCATTACTAATACTAAATTCAGAGAGGGAGGGAGGGTGGGACGTAAGAGTGCAACGTTTTGATATGTGGTTATGATCTGGACTGGACCTATATGCTGGTGCAAAAATTGGGATGCAGCAGGAAGGAGTAAAAGAAAGACAGAAAGAGATGTTCTTCACAACCTCATCATTGAAACAGGAGGATGCTTTAGAGATGAACTCCCCTGGCTGATTCTGTGCGTACCCTGTTTTAACATTGAACAAAATTCTTGTAATGGAGCTGAATCAAAGAGAAAGAACAGGCAGAATGGAAGACGATCAGATCATATATTCGATTTGAGCAAGAAGAGCAGACTAGCAACCTTTACTGCAGCAAAGTGTGGCCATTGAAATAAGAAGAAAGATAAATTTGCTAGCAGAAGCCATAATTGTTGTAGGAGGCAGAGATCAAGAGACTTTGATGTTGTGAAAGGAGAGGCAAATGGGTTAAAGCATATATATATATATGGTTTTGGCTTTTGAAGTACTTAGGGTTGAGAGACCAAATGCAACTTTGGATTGAATGTATGACCAAGTGAAACATGAAGCAGATGAAGGAGAAGACGCTAGTAAAAAATACAAGGACAACTGGACAGGCAAGACACCAACTTAGGTGTGTGTAAGCCACCAACTTTCAGCTTTTTCTTTTGCTGCTGAAACTCTTCCCTCCCTCAAATATATGGAAAAGACAATAGCCAACAGACGGTCAAACGATCTCATCTATAAATTACATTGATGCGCGCCATCCATTAGTCGAGATTTGCTGCAGATCGATGGTGTCAGCCCCCTGTGACGCCTACACCATCTGAAGCATAAGATTATGGGCAACAAATCACTTCAACTACTGCAGATATTTGGGGAATATGATACAAACATGTAGAGCTAATCCAAACTCTATTCAACTTATGTGTATGTTACATTGTTTACCACAAGACGTAAAGAAGAACAAGATCATAACATGTAGAAAGTACCATCCACAATGTCTAGTGACAAAAGAAACCACACTAACCAAATTCAAGTATATAAGAAAGGCCACCACCAACCAGAGAAACCAAACAAACCAAACCAGTCTCTGTTTCCACTACATACCCTCCTCAACCCTACTTGATGTACTGAGACATCCACCTGAAGCCTTCTCCGTACCCCATTTTCCGGACAATGCTGCACATGAACACCTCGAGTGGGCGGACGTTCGTGTCACCCAAGTTGACTTTCCCTTTCCCTGTTGTGAAGTTGGTGAGCCCCATGTGGTAACGAAGCTCGTCTTCGGAGGCAGCATATGGTAAGTCGATCTTGTTCCCGAGTATCAGGAATGGGACGGTGGCCAGTGACTCATCTGAGAGGAGCGCATCGAGCTCCTTTTTGGACTCGGCAAATCTTTCCTTGTCGAATGCATCTACCAAGTACACCACCGCATCCACCTTCATATGAGGAGAGAATTGAGATTAGAATAATGATGTACAGACATATATAACTGGAGTTATGTATGATTGTTATTTATCTCCATACTTAAATAATAGCGATACTCGTTACATTATTCAAGCTTCAAAATACAACACGCTGTTAGAAATCAGCGATTTCCTGCTTCTGGTTGTGTGACTCATACAAATACGCAGTTAGAAAATACCAACGACTTTTACAAATTACGCCGATAAACTACACACCTAATTCCTGTATACTCACCTCTCAAGTATCATATGATCAAAACGCCCAATCATTGTTACTAGTTAGGTGCCTCATCCAAAGAAATTAGGCACCTCATCACAAGAATTAGGCGCCTAATTCTTGTTTACTCACCTCTCATGTATCAGAGGATCAACACGCCTAATTCTTGGTACTTGTTAGATGCCTCATCCTAAGAAATTATGCGCCTCATCTGAAGAAATTAGTCGCCTGATCCTTGTTTACTTACCTCTCGAGAATCAGATGATCAGAAAGCTAAACTAGTGCGGGAAGCATATCAAACAAGCACAAACGTTTTAAGTACAACCACCAATGTAGGAGAACATGCAACGAGAAGAATTCCAATACAGCAAACAACACACTAGTGGTGTGAACTGATAAGTCTATAATCCAAGAACCCATCATTCCTTTTCATTAAGCTGAATTGGACAGAGAAAAGAGGGGAAACCTGAGTATAGTAGTCTTTCCAGACTCGACGAGCAATCTGATGACCACCCAAATCGAAAGCTTTGAACTTGATTTTCCCAATGCTCAGCTCTTCAGAAGTCGGGTACTGGGTCGGCTGGTGCTGAACGAGCCTCTGCCCAAAATTCACCAAACAGGATTCATAATACAACCCTATCAAAACTTCGAAATTCCCATAGTAAAAAATACACATTCAGCTACAATATCGAGAACCTAAATTGATCATATTCGTTAAAATTCACCCCTTCCTCGTTCAATTGAAATATCTCGGCAGCAGGACTGGAACAATTACGAAGCTCGGTAAGGAATAGAATACCTCATCTTTCAACATGTGAAGCAGAGTTGTCTTCCCGGCATTATCGAGACCCAGGAACAAGATCTTCGCTTCCTTCTGCCACAGTCCAAGGGAAGCCAGAACTCCATAGAACCAATCGATCAGAAACATGGCGCGGTCTCTCAATTCAACCCAGCTGGTGAAGGGGAGAGTCCAGCGCTTTCGTCAACAGAACTGTAATGAGGAAAACCTAGGGAGAGACGCAGGAGAACGAGAAGGAATCGAGAGATGGAGGAAACTGTAACCCGGGGGTGAGATTATTAATTGGGGGAAGGATGAAAGGGGACAGATAGAAACAGTCCGACAAGGAGAAGGAAGTAGTATACATTATGCAAAGTCCGGGTCGGGTTTTCGGGCCTGATAGTGGCCGTCGGCGGAGCGAGAATGGGATGCTGAGTTTCGTCGTCATCGGGTGATTTTCAGCCGTTGATCTTGAGATGGACGGCTGGGATTGGAGATGACATGGCGGGGATTTCGGACAGGTGGCAAAAGCTCCACGTGGATGTCGTGGACTTTAATAATATTTTGGGCCTGGGTATGACGACTCCCACATCGGGCTTTTGAAAAGATGGCCCAAAATGACAAACCAATTCCAAAAAAGGTCCCCTCTAGATCGTAAGCCCCGTTCAGTTAGCTCAGGGTTTGAGCCAAATGAATAACTGTTGCAAGCGGCCAATTACTTCGGGCCATCAGAGTCACTGGGCTCCACACACGTCTCAGCCCTGCTCCGACAGGCCCAAAGGGCTCCTGGTTTCCAGGGCTGCATCTCTGCAGATAAGGACCCGGGGACTTTCCTGGACCCATAATGGGCACAATCACTTCGTCTAGAGGGTTGTTGGCGTATCTGTGCGACACTTGTAAATTTATGTCACCAAGTGTTCTTCTTTCTAAACGATGTGGTACAGCTGCATATAGAGTTGGATGGGAAGGAGGGTTATATTTATATTCAACTCTAGGGGTTGTTCAAATGGTTATCATGGTCTAACCAAATCAAATAAGACTAAATTCCATTAACTATGGAATACAATATCATAACAAACCGTCCAAACTAATACAACAACCAAATTAACCAAACTAAAGTTTAATCGGTTTGGTTAATTGGTTAACCAGATTAACCAATATAAAATCACATTATCATTGACGATGAAAATGTTCCGGTTAATGCAACAATTCGCAATTTATATAATGAATAAAACATAACAATCAACACGTAGTTATAGTTGACCCTTAACAAAAATACATGCAACTAAGACAATTATCTTACGATTAGTATAGAAGTATTCACCTAACAAAAAATTATGACAATGATATGGGTTAATGAATTGTTGTGTTTGTGTAAATTGACTTAGTCTCTTAGCAATTATCATAGGCTGGAAATGACCTTCCTTTCAAGTTTTCATTCATCATAATGTATGAAATTCATCTAAATTAGGCGTCCATATGTTGTGGTCTAGACTTTACATATACAAATATACACTATATGAGCAATATTGAGCTTTATATTTTACGAGTCTAAAAGGGATGAACGTTAACTCTTGAGTGGTTATGCAAAGTATTATGTGTATATAATATATGTTAGATATATGACTAATTACTTAACTGGTTAATTTGATTTGACTGGTTAGGAGTGTCTGAAACCAAACCAAACCACCTAAACCAAACAAGCTAAAAACTTTAACCAAATCAAACCAATTATCCAAATTAACCAAACCATATTATCCAAATAGTACCGGTTAAAACGGTTACCACGATAACCAAACCGTTTGAACACCCCTATTCAACTCAACACAATTATCCGTAAATATATTAATTATATTATTATTTATACACATGAATCCATTCATATATATATATTTATGTTTAATGGGTTGTTAATAAGATAGATGTGTAAAGGACGTGTAATACTACTTAGTGTGTAGTCGATTAGGGTTAGGGTGTTTATTGTCTTTTCCCTATTAGCCGAGGTGCTGATCATAACCCTAGCTAATTAGTTGGACAGGGTTATATATGTATGTAACTTGTAATCGGCTGCCGCTAAGTAAGTAAGAAGCTGAGATAGCAAAACTTCTCCGTGGATTAAGCTCATTCACACCGAATGAGAAGAACCACGTAAAACCTTGTGTCGTGTGTGTGTTTTTCGTGTTTGGAATTCTTTCATGGTATCAGAGATGGTTCGATAAACCAAGCTTCTCGTTATGGGTGATAAAGTCGTGGTCAGCGGCAGCTGTGGGGAAAACAGCGTCGTGCCTCCCGTTATTCTTGCTGCCTTGAAGATCCAAGCCTCCGATAACCCTGGTCAATTGTTTGTGGGGGAGTTG